TTCGAGGACGAAAGTTCTTTTTAGGGGTAGATAATGTAACGACCCGGGAAAGAAAGGAAAAAATATATATACATATAATAAAAATAAATAAATAAATAAATCAAATAAAGTAAAAAAGAAAAAAGAAAAAACTCAGTCGCCGGAAAACCCGCGAGTTTTCCGGCGACCGCCGAGTTTCGCGGAACCCACGCGAAACGACGGCCACAGCACGCCCACCCTCAACCCACGACACCCTGCAAAGTTTCAGAACACCTGCAAAGGGAGAAAAGAGAGAAAATTTGGAGAGAGAGAGAGAGATTTCGGACAAACGTCAGCGAGTGTCCAGTTTCTCCGACGAGCCCTCAAACCACCCTCAAACTAACACCAAACGACCTGTTACCACCATAATAGGGATCCCTAACGAAAGCACAATAACTCAGGGTGCGTTTTGTGTTATTTCCTAAGCGTCGTCGTCGGTAACCGAGGTCGGAAAGATTAGGTTTCTTAATCGATTCTTAGATCTATGGCTTTTAGGAGCTTTTAGGCCGCAAAACTCCCAGAAAAGAAAGAAGGACGACGAACAAAGAGGAAAAGGGAAGGAAGAGGATCGAAATCGGCAACGGAAATGCCGCGGGAAAGAGAGAGAAAGCTCGCCGGAAAATCGGCCGAAGTCGGGTAAGGAAGACGAGATCCACGGATCCGGGTCAACCCGAACCCAGAACCCGGGAGAGCCAGCCCGTTCCTCCCTTGGCCTCTGCCTTCGGCCCAGCCCAACTTCAGCGGCCCAAACCTCAAACCGGCCCAGAAGCTACGGTTCAGTTGAACCAACCCAGACCAGACCCACGGTCCAATTGAGCCAGCCTGCAAACCAAACTCCTGCGGCCCAGCCCAGTAAGCCGAGGCCCAACGATTAGTCTTGGCCCAGTAGCCCCCCACAGCCCACGACCCGAACCACGACCCGAACCGGGCTGCGACCTGACACTGCCGCCCGACGTGGCTTTCTCTGCTACTGCCACGTGTCACTCAACGGCGCAGGCAGTCCCTCGGCTCGGCTCGGTGCAAACGGCTCGGGCTCCCTCCAGCGACGCTCCGGTGGCTCCTCCGGCGGCTCCAGCGGCTGTTCGGCTCGGCTCACCTGTTTTCAGCCCGGTTTCCACTGTTCCGACCCTCCCGAATCTGTTTTCAGCCCCGATTAAGGTATCCGAGGCCGNTAGAGCCGTATTTCACATTTATTAAATTATAGGTAAATTAATTGTGAAATACTAATGGAAAGTGGTGGACGATGTGATAGGAAACAAACCCCGGGGACGTAGGGAGCGGCTCTCACGGAACGGGAGCTTACGTTTAGCGATTTAGGAAGTACTTCGGCCAAGGCCAACCAAGTAAGTGGTCTTACTATAGGATAGGCTAAATAAATTGTATGATGCTTGATGTTATGTGCCAGTATATACATATTTTGTTGAGTGACGCTTGATATGTTTGACGCACGTTGTGGCATTATGATGAGCATGATGATTGCATGATTTTTACCTTAATATGATGATGTTTTCCATATTGAGCATGCTAGATGATGATGAGTGCCATATTGCATCATGTCGTTAGATCGACGTAGGACACAACCCTAAGAGCATGAAAATGATAGTAATATAAACATCCACGAGTATGCGTTACCTAGAGTAACAAAGAGATGAGACTAGAGGGTTGTGTCAGAAGAGACATTACGATGGATTTAGAGGGACCTCATGCATTTTGTATGTTCATAAGCATAGGGCTACTTCCCCTAGAGATGATGAGTGCGGACGCGCACCTTACGATGAGCGCGAATGCGCACAGGTGCGAAAGCACACAGATGAGGGTGTTCATGAAGCGCATGACACTATGGGGTTCCGCTGACCTCCGGACGTCGCTACAGATTAGCTTGACCAGAGGGTCCAGGGGGCGTGCGAGCGCCCTGGGGACTCACATTCACACGTGTGGGTCATGTGAAGGGAAGTACTACACATCCAATTTGTCCGAGACTGGAGGCCACCCCTAAGATGATTAGAGATAGGTCCCTATTCATGATTGCATCTGTTTGCATTAGCATGGCCCCTATAGTGGGGTCACTTACTGAGTATTTAATACTCAGGCCGTGTGCCATATTGTTTTTTTTCAGGTAAAGGCAAGGCGCCCATGTACGGTTGACGGTGGCATCGTGATCAGAGACTGTGGCGCGTGCATAGGATAGATGCATATTTAATTCCTAGTCTTAGTTAGAATAGGGCGTTTGCAATTCATTCATTTATATTAATTAATTTGTAGTCGTTTTATTTTATTTTTTTTGGAACTCTAGCACAATGTTTGAAACACGTAAGTCCGGCAGTGTTTTCCAATGTTTTAATGTATTCTGAAGTTTTAAATTTTTCCGCTATTAAAGATGAGCATGCTTAGATTTTTATTCTGCATTAGAGATGAGCATGAGACGTTAGTGGCGACTCTGGATATGTGGAAATTTAGGGTCGTTACATCATGCATAATTGTATATTCACATGTATCAGAATACTCTCTTTTATGATGAGTACGGACACGTACACTATGAGACTAAAATGATCATCATGCTTGACATGGTGCATGACGATCGATGTACCTCTAGGTGTCCGGCTACAACCTAGAGAAGCTAGCCCAACCAGCAGGCTCAAGGGGTGTGCGAGCCTGCCTGATGGACCTATGCTCACACGTGTTGGTCATGTGTAGAGAAGTACTGCACATTCAACTTGCCCAAACTAGAGGCCACATAAGAAAAGACATTTTTAGACGATAGGTCTCATTCATGTTGCGTGTGTTTTCATTCACTGTTCTCAATAGTAGGGTCACTAGCTGAGCGTTTCTTAAAATACTCAAGTCTTTTTCTACTTTTGTATTTCAAGTAAAGATAAGGCACCCATGTACAGATGACGACGACGTCGTTTCAAAGACCATGGAACCTGTATAGGGTAGTTGCATTTTATTTTGTAGATCCTTAGGTTAGTACAAGGCACATTGAATATTTCTAATTGTTTTATTTTAAGGCTGTTATGCAAACGTGTAAGTCCATGACATCGTTTTAGAAGTTATTTTAATTTAATGTTTCTACATAAAGAGGTGGTTATGTCATGTATATGGTAGCGATTCTATTTTAGTAGAAAATTAGGGTCGTTACACTGTATATGCATACAAGCTATCCTAAGTCAATAAACAAAAGAGTAGCTCACTCCAAAAAGACTTGCCATGCTAGAAAGGGTGAACCATCCCCTTTGTACCTATAGTGGGTTCATGAGTAGTTTGAGAACCTCTTGGGAACTTTGAGACACCATGGATGTTGATATAGCAGTAGAGACTAGCCTCAAACTTCTTTAAGCTCCGAGTAAATTTGTGGATACCTATTAGGATAAGAATATGATGAGAGCCTACCAATAGGTTGGTTACTAAGCCTTTTTGTACTCACCCCTTTTTCTTTGTTTTAAAGTGTTTGCAGGCTACCACCAATTGAGAGGAAGGAATGTTGTCCATCCTTGTATTTGAGTTTTTTTGTATTTTGTTTTGTAATTGTATTACAAACACATTTTCCGTGTTTGAAATAAATTCCAATAACATCATCTTATAATTAGATTTTAAATTGTATTTAGTTTTTGTGGGGTTGTCTTTCTTTTTTAAATTTTATCAAATTTTCATCTTTTATTTTATTTTACTTTTCTTTTGTTTTCTTTTAATAAGTCTTTTTAATTATGGTTGGAGATTCGAATCTAAAAAATCTGGTTATGAAAAAATATGATCCTCCTGTATCTCAACCACGTACCGTTCAAAATTACACTAATAACCTTGACTTTTTCACCCTAATAAAATAATCAAAATTATTATTAAAAATTTGATAATCAATTAGGAAGATTTGGAGCATAAATCTCGATACTCTAAATAACATAAATAACATAGAAGTTTTATAAGAGACCTTAATTTATGATTTCAAAGGACTATGCAAAGTTTTAAGATCATTGGAATAGGTTTCGGGCATGAACTAAGATTCGGTAAAAATGACCAAAATGCCCTTTTTCCTTTCTAACTTCCTTAATTCCTTTCGCAACGTCACTAGAGCATAAAAACATTATCGTTCGACCCCTCAAACCTTCTTCACGTCTCTTAAACCTTCCTTAGATATTTTAAATGTCCATTAGGGTTAGTGAGTAAATTGGCAAAATCCATTTGTTGGTTTCATGAACAATAAGAAGTTATTCTCATGCTTTAGTCTTATACTCAAAGTTAGAATATAAAAAAGGATTGAATATGGGATTGTGGAAGAGGTACACAAGCATGGTACAAAGTTTCTAACAAGTTATTCTTATGCTTTCTTTTAGTTGAATATCAATTCATTAATTAATGTAGGTAATTTAGATTTAAATTAATATTTTTATGTAATTATATAAGTAATTACACAAGTCAATATTGTCTGCTTTGACACGTATTGCCTTAGCCTCATGATTTTAAAATGTGCATGTTAGAACGAGATTTCAACACCGATATAAATAAATGTTTTGTTCCTCTATCTAACATATGTGAGATCTCAGAAGGGTAAGTTTCACTTTGCTATTAACTTATGAAACAAAATGAGTATCATCTATCGGATTATAAGTTAAAAGGCCAAATATTATATAAGTTGAAACCAATCTTTAATCATCCACACCAAATGACATCTTAATCTTCGATTGACAAGCCCTCGACGTCTAGAGCCACGGTAATTTTTGTTTTTATTTTTTTATTTTTTTATTGCTTATTTATAGTTTCAATTTTAAACATTTTTAGATTCAATCGAGTCGGTATAATTCAACATTTAGCTATGTATATCTTGAATCATGTGAGTCTTATAACATTGCTTCTCTCTCCGTTGATGAGAAATGTTATAATTTTCTTCGTCTTTGTCTTTGTTAGGGTGTTTTTGACAACCTCGGACTGCCCAATTCAAACTATAAAAATTGGGTTAGATTAAATTTTCTTTTTTCAGTTTAGTTTGGGTTGAATCTTCGAAAAATAGAAAATTCAAATAGGTTTGCACGTTGACACTTTTTAGTCGGATCAACCCAACTAACCGAAAATAAGGCTGCAACCCAACCCAACTCAATCCTGCCTTACTTTTAAGATTATTACGAAGATTAAGAATATTTAACGATGTTAATGATGTGTCCTGACTTGTGAATGTTTGGTATTTGAGGTTTACGAGATTTTAGTTATTAATGTAATATATATTGTGGATGAGTAGATTTTTTAAAAAATATTTAACAAACAAACAACCCGAGAACCCAACCTAACCCGAAAATGGAGGGTTGAGTAGTAAACTTTGTTCAGGTTGCTCAGGTCACAAATCTCAACCCGAAAATAGAGGGTTGAGTAGTAAACTTTGTTCAGATTGCTGAGGTCACCAATCTCAACCCGAAAATAGAGGATTGAGTAGTAAAGTCTGTTCAGATTGCTCAGGTCACCAACCCAACCCGAAAATAGAGGGTTAAGTAGTAAACTCTGTTCAAGTTGCTCAAGTTACCAATCTCAACTCGAAAATAAAGGATTGAGTAGTAAACTCTGTTCTGATTGCTCAGGTCACCAACCCAATCCGAAAATAGAGGGTTGAGTAGTAAACTCTATTCAGGTTGCTCAAGTCACCAATCTCAACCCGGAAAATAGAGGGTTAAATAGTAAACTCTGTTCAGGTTGCTCAGGTCACCAATCCCAGGCAACTCGACATTTCTAGTTGGTCCAACAAATTTCTCGAACCCAACTCAATCTAGTATACACCCTTACTCTTTGTATAAAATTTGTAAGGAGTTAATCTATACCATACAAATGTTGTTTTGATCTTACGTAGATCGTTCTTACGTATAAGTTGTTGCATGATTAAATTATTGTTTAATAGTTTTTATTTCTCGATTTTTGTAGAGTCTTATTGAAAGCTGTTCATGGCATGCAACGTGTTCGGCGATCCAATTACATATTCGAGTTTGGAAAGAATGTCGGAATACGTTGGAAAGGAGAAAAGAAGTGAAGATAGGGCATACGTGGCATTACAATTGAAGAATGTTGGAGCAAAAGGTAAGAATGCGCTTGAATACTTGGAGAAGTTGAATGCACAATGGGGAACCGAAGTCTCAACAATGGGCTTAATTTACAACGCTACTGGAAATGCCATAAAGCTTTTGAAAACTCATGATTGGCATGGTTGTATTGGAGCTTCACCTTTTCCTATTAGGATTGAAAATGGACAATGGGGTGTGTTTCTACATGTCGATACGGACTTAACAGGCTCAGAAGCTGCTGTTGTATATCGAGGCGAAAACTTGCGTGGTGTAACTACTGATTGGTTTCTATCTTGGTCTAATCCACCATCATATCAGCTCACAACAAACAAGGTTTATGCTCAATTCTTAACAACATTTCTCTTTATTTTAAAAATGTTTATACCCTTTTTTTCAAACGAAAATCAATTATGTTTCTGAGATCTCATATGGATTGAAGAGGGGAATGAGTGTCAGCGAGGACGTTGGGCTCTGAAAGGGAGTGACCTGTGAGATCCCACATTGGTTGGAGAGGGGAACGAAACATTCTTTATATGGGTGTGGAAACCTCTCACTAACAGACGTGTTTTAAAACCTTGAGAAGACAATATTTGTTGGTAGACTTGAGTTGTTACAAATGGTATCAAAGCTAGACACCGAGCGGTGTGCCAACGAGGACGCTGATCCTCGAAGGGGGTAGACACTGGATGGTGTGTTAGCATGGATGCTGGGAATCGAAGAGGGGTGGACAGTGGACGGTGTGCTCGCGAGGATGCTAAGCCCTGAAGAGGGGTGAATTGTGAGATCTCATATCGATTGGAGAGGGGAACGAGTGTCAGCGAGGACACTGGGCTCCGAAGAGGGCAGATTGTGAGATACCACATCGGTTCGAGAGGGAAACGAATCATTCTTTACAAGGATGTGGAAACCTCTCCCTAATAGACGTGTTTTAAAACCTTGAGGGAAAATCTAAAACGAAAAGCCCAGAGGACAATATCTGTTAACGCTAGACTTGGGCTGTTACAAATTGTTTCAGAGTGAGACAGGGCGGTGTGCCAACGAGGACACTGAGCCCAGAAGGGGGTAGACACTGGGTGGTGTGCGAGCGAGGATGTTGGGAATCGAAGGGGGGTGGACACTGGGGGGTGTGCCAGTGAGGACGTTGAGCCCTGAAGAGGTGAGATCCCATATCGATTGGAGAGGGGAACGAGTGCCAACGAGGACGCTTAGCTCCGAAGGAGGGTGGATTGTGAGATCCCACATTGGTTGGAGGAGAGAACGAAACATTGTTTATAAGGGTGTGAAAATTTATCTCTAATAGACGTGTTTTAAAACTTTAAGGGAAAATCTATAATGAAAAGCTCAAAGAAGACAATATCGGGTGACATGTTTCACGTTCCAATTTTTGTTTGTAGTATTAAAATATTTCTATTTCATTGATAATTTTCAAAACAAAATAACTTAAAATGATGCTATATATGTTGTAGGTTTTCACTAAGCGTGATGAACATAATCCTTTTGTTGGTGCCAATCATTCTTCTGGAAATGATCTTTGGAATTCGCTCTCTAAATTGCTGCATGAGTCATCTCTCTGCCATTCAGTGAACCAGTACGAAAGCCAATCAGCTGGTTCCATTGGAAATGGTAGCACTGTCATTTGTGAGGCAATTTTCAGTATAATAAATTGATCAAACCCTACCTTATCCAATCTATATATATAGGCCTTTCTTTGTACATGCATAGTTTAAATAAAACATCTATTTACCATAAATGGATGTATGCACCTAAATGTTAAAACTTTACATATATATATATGTATGTATATATATATATGTGTATGCATATATATATATATATAATATCTATGTTAAATTTCTCTTTCTAAATTTGCAATACTTTTAACTTTGACAAAACTTTTACTTTGTCAGATTAGTTTTGTGGAGCCTTTTAATTCAAAGAATCACACGAATTTATGAATCAAAAAGGTTTCAATCCTAAAGAAATGTTAAGACTGACGAATTATCTCTACCATCTCACCCGTTCCTTATTTTCTTCCTTCACCTAAATTGTTTGACAATCTTTCTCAAATATTTTTGAGAATCAACAACAAAGTTCATTGATTTATTGCTTCTCTCAATTTGGTATCACTAGAAATAGATTTAAGTTTTGAGAATTTTTGCTAGTATTGTTTGAAATCGGGTATCAACGTTTTCGGGGTTCTCCTTAGACATTGGTGTACACCGAAATCCGCGAGTGATTGGGTGTGAATTAGCCGATGAGTATTCAAATTGAGCCTTGACTCTTCAATGTATTTTCCGTGGGATTTTGGTGGTGGTTCTTATGCATATTCGTTGATATTTGGTAGCGCCATCAAATTGACGAGGAGATTTGAGTCGCCATCGCACACCAGTCATCGTCGTGGTGATACAACGTCGTGAAAAGTCATAGAACGTGTTGGGTTATGGACCATGCAGCTTATTTATAGCTCAATCAATGGTTACACATACTAAATCTATATTGGTAAATGACATATAAAGTAAATGGTCATATATACCGTAACCACATTAAAAAAGAGTTATATACAGTAGATGATTATATGTTGTAAAACTATATATATAGTAAACTAAATGATATATAAACCGTTTAAGCATTACTTTGAAAATATACTTTTTGAATTCTCATCCAAGTCATCAATATAAACTTTTATCGAATATTTCTCTCATTTTCTCTCTCCTATTTTTTGTGTTTAGATCAAGCGTGTGAGTTGTTGTGCGATCTTAATAACTGGTCTCAGTGCTAGGTGAGATTCACCACGATCTATGAAGATGAGAAGTTCAAATATTAGAATTGAGAAGTTTGATGGATCCGATTTCAGTTTTTGGAAGATGCAGATTGAAGATTATATGTACTAGAAATATCTTCATGAACCCCTGTCTGGGGTGAAGTCGAATACCATGACCACAGAGCCTCAAGAATCGGCAAGCCTTAAGGTTGATCTGGTTGATGTTGTCAAAAAATGTGGCATTCAACATCATCAAGGACAAGACAACGTCCTTTTTGTTGAACGCATTGTCAAATATGTATGAAAACTCGTCGACTATGAACAAGATATATTTAATGCGGAGATTGTTCAATTTACAAATATTTTCATTATGATTATAAGTCAACTGAGTTTAGTGAAAATTAATTTCGAAGATTAAATTAAAGCATTGATTTTGATGTCATCTTTACCCGAGTCGTGGGACGCTGTTGTTGCCGCGATCAGCAGTTCCTGAAGATCTAAGAAACTAAAGTGTGATGAAATTTGAGATGTAGTTCTCAGCCAAAGTATTCGCATACGAGAAATTGAGGATTTACCTAGTAGTGTTCTCAGTGTTGACAAAATGGGAAGAAGTGAATCGAAGAGCCCAAACAAAGGCCGATCAATATCAAAGAACCGTAGAAATGTTCCAAAGACCAAATGTAACGTGTTGAAGTTGTGGACAAAGATGTCACATTCCGACATGCTGTACAAGAATAAAGAGGAAGCAAAATCACAAATCAAATGATGACAATGATTCTATAAATTCAGCATACGACATTGGGGATGCTCTAATCCTCAGCATGGAGAGTCCAATTGAATCCTAGATTTTGGTTTTATGTGCATCTTTTCATTTGTCTTCAAATAAAGAGATGTTTTGGAATTTTAAATTTTGAAATTTCGAGGAGTATCTTGCTGACAACAAAACCTTAGAGATTGAAGGGAAGGGGACGTCTGCATAAAAACTCCAGTAGGTGATCAAAGAACATTAAAGGATATCATACATATTCCTGGTCATAAGAAAAACCTGATTTCTATTAGTCAGTTGGATAACACAGGTTATGCAACAGAATTTGGTAAGAGTTCGTGGAAGATTGTGAAGGGTGTTATGTGTTGGATTTTATGTCCTAAAACTCATAGTTTGTAAACAAAAACATATTCTATTTTCAATAAAGTTATTATTGTTGTTTATTCAGTAAAGATTGTTATTGAATAAAGTGAACTTTATGATTATTAATCTAAATCCAATAAACTAAGAACACTCTGACTATAGTATGATTACTTGAACTATATGTAGAGACATAAGAGTGAATCAAGTTCAAGTATATAGTCAAAATGATCTATAGTATGAAGATAAGGCTGAGTACTTTATCCTGGGGACACTATGGATGCGGCCCACTTTTGTATATGACATAAACAATGTGATCACTAAATTGTACATGTGGAGACATGTGAGTGGGGGAATCCTATGCAATGAGTATTGCATAAGATCGAACCATGAAGAAAATCACTCTCACTTTATAATGTCGTTTACTGTTGAGACTGGTTTTCTTTTCATTCGATGACCTAGGTAACTTGATTTTAATCTTGAGCTAATCATGAACTCCTGTTTATTCGGAATTATCCTTAGATTTGCATGGGTGAGAGTGTGTAACGCCCCGTTGGGTTTAGTTATATATATATGTGTGTGTGTTAAAATAAAAATAACAAAATAAAGAAAAAGAAAAAAAAAACTGACCACCTCCTCTAATCTCTCCGTCCATCCCCTAAAATACCTCCCTCAGTATCAATAACTCAGAAAAAAAAACAAAAATAGAAAGAAAATATTTTTCTGGAGGAAACTAGAAGGAAGGCAGATAATGGAGAGATGGTAGACGAGAGATGTCATTTCAAAAGGTTAGTAGTCAGATTTACCTTTTTTTTTATTTTTCTCTTTCTTTCTGCGAAGGATATTAGCAATTATTTAGATCTGAGTTAGAAATTTAGAAATTATCTGTTGCAATGATCTGAATTAGAAATTATATGTCCTAGCGAGGGTCCATGAAAATTGATAAAAAAAGAGGAATAGATAGATAAGGAGGAGAGAAAGATAGGAAAAAGAAAGATCTGGATACATATTCAAATAAAAATAAAATCTAGCAATAGAATTAAAATATGAGACAGAGAGGAAAAGAGAAGAGAGAAAGATTGGAAGACAGATCAAATAAAAATAAAAAATACCAAATTTGGAAAACATAATCAAAAGAGATTTTCACAGTAAAGAGAGGAGATTAGATTTGGAAACAGTAAAGTTAAAGAAAATCTGGTGAGTAGAATTAAATAATAAACTGCCTAAAAGAATGGAAACAGTAAAGTTAAAGAAAATCTGGTGAGTAGAATTAAACCCATTGTAATAAACTGCCTAAAAGAATGAAACTAATTAAAAGAATTAAATTTAAATTGTTTAAAATAATTAGATATGAAACTAGAATTGAAAGGCTAAACAGAATTAGAGTAGAAAGAAACAAGAAAAAAAAAACAAAGAGAGAGGATTTTAGGAAAGAAAAGAAAGTTAGAACAGTTTGAAGATGGCAAGTACGTTCATATGGCAATGACAAAATTAAAAGGCTAAACAGAATTAGAGTTAAAAGAAGGAAGAAAAAAAAAACAAAAACAAAAAAAAACAACAGGATTTTAGGAAAGAAAAGAAAGTTAGAACTGTTTGAAAATGGTAAGTACCGTAAATAGAATTAAAATATGACATAGAAGAGAAATAAGTGATAGAAGACGATATGAGAAATTGTTGTATTTGTATCTATAGGATATAACATTAAATGTTGAATTATCCAAGCCACTTGAAATATTAATAATATTGACATATTATTAATTTAAGTTTTAAGTTTTATTATCCTATATAATTTAGAAACAATGAAAACATGGAATTCGATTTTTATTGAGACCGTTTAGAGCAGTTTTTCACACGGTTAGTTGGATTATTAATTAAAATGTGAAATACTAACAAAATGTGACGAACGATGCGATAGGAAGCAAACCTTGGCAACATTTGGTGTAGTTCTCGAGGAACGGGAGCTTACGTAAATAAATTAGGGAGTTCTTCGGCTAAGGCCAACCAGGTAAGTGGCCTTACTATAGAATAGGCTAAATAATTCTATGAGTTATGATGATGTGTGGATTATGATGCTTGATGATATGCGCGGTATATACATATTTTGTTGAGTGACGCTTGATATGTTTGACGCACGTTGTGGCATTATGATGAGCATGATGATTGCATGATTTTTACCTTAATATGATGATGTTTTCCATATTGAGCATGCTAGATGATGATGAGTGCCATATTGCATCATGTCGTTAGATCGACGTAGGACACAACCCTAAGAGCATGAAAATGATATTAATATAAATATCCACGAGTATGCGTTACCTAGAGTAACAAAGAGATGAGACTAGAGGGTTGTGTCAGAAGAGACATTACGATGGATTTAGAGGGACCTCATGCATTTTGTATGTTCATAAGCATAGGGCTACTTCCCCTAGAGATGATGAGTGCGGACGCGCACCTTATGATGAGCGCGAAAGCGCACAGGTGCGAAAGCACACAGATGAGGGTGTTCATGAGGCGCATGACACTATGGGGTTCCGCTGACCTCCGGACGTCGCTACAGATTAGCTTGACCAGAGGGTCCAGGGGGTGTGCGAGCGCCCTGGGGACTCACACTCGCACGTGTGAGTCGTGTGTAGGGAAGTACTACACATCCAATTTTTCCGAGACTGGAGGCCACCCCTAAGATGATTAGAGATAGGTCCCTAAATCATGATTGCATGTGTTTGCATTTGCATGGCCTCCTATAGTGGGGCCACTTACTGAGTATTCTTTGAAATACTCAGGTCGTGTGCCACATCTTTTTTTTCAGGTAAAGGCAAGGCGCACTTGTACGGAGGACGGCAGCATCGCGAGCAGAGACTGTGGCACGTGCAT